TTACAATTTTAAGTGGTAAATTTTCACATAAATTTGATATCCTTTCTTTACACTTATTTTAAAGTATCTTAAATTTATCTTAAAGTTTCCTTCTTTAAAAGTCTACTTGAAAAATATAGCTGCAACATAAAACACAGTATTAGGATGATATTACTGCTAGTTTTGAAGCAAATTTGTAGATGCCTTTTAGCCATTTATTCTCAGACTGAATAAATTATAGATATAGGACTTAGTTGACATGCAAAACAGAAAATCACAAAGATTGCCCTCAACTGTTAAATTTTGGATATATTGGCCTAGAGAAAATTAATACATTATTAATTTTTTTTGCATTTTGAGAATGCCTATATCAGCACTGCTGCAATTAAGCTAAATTATTCATTATTATTATAAAATAGTATTGAATATGTTTATAGTATACAAAATAGACTGGCTTGAAAATGTAATTTTCAAAGACTATATAGAAAGAAATGAGAGTACCACTTGATATGAAAATGTACAATGAGGAGAAATAAATCAAAATCTTAAAATTGGCTTAATAATGGTTTCATTTGATTATTGGGACTGAAGTTTCAAGAGTAAGAAAGAGGAGGTTGTTACTTTTCATTAAAAGTTCTTTTAATAATTTATATATTTGAAAAATTATATGGATTTTACTAATAGTTGTTTCTGAAAAAATTAGAATTTTCAATCAAGGTCAAACTCGTTTTATCAATACATTTGTAACAGAATCACAAGAGACTGTATATATTTTCTAAGAATAATCACTACATAACACAAAAATAAAATATTTATTGTCTACCCTATGTTTAAATGCTGTCCAAATATATTTCTAGGTCCAATCACAGAGGTGAGTTATCTTTCATTTTTTGGGTCAAAAAAGTAGATTTACATATAAAGATAATGTGATCAGTGATAAGATTTTGATACGCAATGCTTCTTGGAATCCGATGGCTTTTAATGATTCTTCCCACAGTAAGGGTCCTTAGCGGACTGGATGGACAACAGAAATTGGACAGCACTAAATGAATTCATTCTGACGGGCATCACAGACCACCCTGATCTTCAGGCCCCCTTCTTTGGGCTGTTCCTCATCATCTATGTAAACTCAGTGCTGGGCAACATGGGCATGATCATCCTCACCAAAGTGGACAACAGACTACAAACACCTATGTACTTTTTTCTCAGACACCTGGCTTTCATTGATCTTGGTTACTCAACTGCCGTGGGACCCAAAATGTTGGTAAATATTGTAACTAATCAAAATACAATTCCCTACAAGTGGTGTGCCACACAGCTAGCATTCTTCATCATGTTCATCATTAGTGAGCTTTTCATTCTGTCAGCCATGGCCTATGACCGCTATGTGGCCATCTGTGACCCTCTGCTATACACAGTGGTGATGTCACCCAGGCTGTGCTGGGTGCTGGTGACAATCCCTTATCTCTACAGCATCTTTCTTTCTCTGATAACGACCATCAAAATTTTCATCTCATCCTTTTGTGGCAATAATGTCATTCATCATTTCTACTGTGACAGTCTTCCCTTGTTAACTTTGATTTGCTCAGGCACGCAAGAGGTTGAGTGGATAGTACTGATCTTTTCAGCATTTAATCTGGTCTCCTCTCTTCTGATAGTCCTTGTTTCCTACACTCTGATCCTCACAGCCATCCTCAGGATAAACTCAGCACATGGTAGGCACAAGGCCTTCTCCACCTGCGGATCTCACCTGACAGTGGTGGTCGTGTTATATGGGACCTTATTCTTCATGTATGTGCAGCCTAAGTCCAGCCACTCCTTTGACTCTGATAAATTAGCCTCTGTGTTTTACACCCTGGTGATTCCCATGCTGAACCCCATGATCTACAGTTTGAGGAACAAGGAGGTTAAAGGTGCCCTGCACAGGATATGGAGCAATCTGTGCAAACTTTGTTTGTAATTTCACTATAGCATCTAAGTATGCAAAATCAGGATGTGCACTGCCCTTGATTATATGTAACAAACCTTAAAAGGAACTATGCAGAACTTGAACAGGAAATCATATTCAAAACATAGATGTTTAAAAACCAATTTTTCCTTTGGTCTTCACTTTGATTTGTCCTCACATTTTGTGTCAAGTGCCTGGGTCTGTATCATGGTTCTCACATTGCCAAGTCCTTAATTTACAATTGAAGGGAAGCCTCTCTCTACACCTCTCCTCTTAGACTTTCTTTCGCTATACACATCTTAGGTCTTGAACATGTATGTTTTTCCTTTGTGTTCTACACACCATTACTTTAAAAGAAATAAAAATAGAGACTTCCACATGTAATATTTGTTTTAATTTAATACAAAAACTCCATTAGAATTTAGAAACAATATTTAGTATATTAATTCAATTGGGTTTCCTATGTAATACATTTACATTTAGTAATTTACTTGAACCATAATTCAAAAATCAACCAATTATGTATTATGTCATAACACATGCTAAATAGTCTGTTTATCCAGCCCCAGATTTATACATGAAACAAAAATCATGCTATACATCTTTAAAATGTACAATATACCTGTCAAACTTTTGAAAGTACCAAAATTAAAGTGAGAAATATTATAAGCTTTCATGTGAAAGCTGGCTTATTTTATAAAGTTGTTCTATGAAAGAATGGTTAAATACCATCTTTATAACTTTGAATAAGACAATATGTCTTAAGACAGGCACGGTGGTGCATGTGTGTAATCCCAGCAATGAGAGGGCTGAAGAAGAAGTCTCCTGCACGTCTGAGGTCAGACTAGGCCATAGGCTAGATAGCGAGACCCTGACTCAAAAAAAGAAAAAGAGAAAGAAACGAAAGAAGGAAAGAAAAAAGGGTGCCTTAAAACACTGCACAACAATAATAACACAAACACAGAATTATCCTCAATAAAAACACAAAAAAGAAAAAATTAATTCCGTTCATCAAGGTATACCATAGGAGAATGTGAAAACTCACATTTACAACACATGCAGCAAACAATGCACTGCTAACAGTGATTCGAAAGAAAAAAAGAACACAGAACAAGAATCACAAAGCATAAATTTTCAAATTAGTATAATAGACAGGGTTCACCACAGGGAAAAAAATGGCCAAAAGAGATGAAGAAACATTTCACCAAAAAGGATAGCAAAACAGTCAAAATATAAAAATATATTTAAAAACTCAATGGTGTTAATAGCTGTGACATAATTATGTGTTGGTCCAAATGGTCAAAATTCAAAAATCTGAATTTTGGAGGGAGGGGTGAAATAAAATGCTCTTTGTTACCAGGTCACATGATAATCTATGTTGAACATTCGACAGACAGAAAAAAAAATCATTTGGAAGTAATAAGTGATTATTGCAAGGTTGACAGGTATTAAATGAATATATAGAGGAAGAAGATTTCCTGCACATCAGTGATCAACTGGCATATTTAAAATCAAAGTTACAATAACATTTACATTAACACCCCACAAAAATGAAATACTTTCTATGTAACATTGTAGGTATAAGGTATATACAAAGAAATCTCCCAAAGTCTGATGAAAGAAAACAAAGAACTAAACACAGAAATATTTCATGGCCATAGATGGAAAGCCCTCTATTATCTAGATGTCAGTTCCTTCCAAATTAATCTATAGGTGCCATCCCAAAGTCCAATGAGTCATTTTGTGAATACCAACAAAATAGATTTAGTGTTTTCATGGAAATGGAAAAGACACCAAAGGATCAACACAATATTTAAAGAAAATAAAGCTTGAGGGCTAGTATATATAACTAAAAGAATTTCCATAGAAGTAAAGTTACCATGATAGTGTGGCATTGGTGAAAGAAGAGACAAATAGATCAATTGAGTAGAATGTGATGAAATAGAAAAGAGAAGAGTGGAATGGAGTGGAATGGAATGGAGTGGAATAGGATGGGATGAGATGGGATGGGATGTGATGGGATGGGATGGGCTGTGAAGTGGTAACAGTTGTTTAATGGATAACAAACCAGTTTGTTTTAGGGAATAAATTCTGTAATACTTCACAATCTCGATTTATCAGTTTATATTATATACATAACAAGAAATATATAGTATCTCCTAGATATGCATATTTATTACATCAGAAGAAAGTGTTTTTAAGAATATGTAAGTAAATGAAAATGCTAACTACCTTGCTTTGATCATTATTCATATGATACATGTATTGAATTGCCCATACATTATAATAATAATTTGTAATTTTAAAGTTTTTCATTTTAACAAATTGAAAATTGTGGTTTTAAATTAATTTTGGTGGTTTTACATTTTTTGTACTGAGGTGTTAGAACAGGTCATGACATAAAGGATAGTGAAGGACCCTTCTGCAGTTCTGAAAATATTCTATTTGCTGGTCTTGCTGCTGGAAAATTTGGATTATTTCTATACTTATTTGTTAACTTTGCAAAAATGTATGGTTTGCTATTGTTTATATGTATATTCTACCACAGTACAATATATTAATAAAGGTAAGCCACCACAAATAAAGCAAAGAGCCATACATATGTATAATCATATAGAGACATCCCACCAAAACTGTATACACACTTCAGGAAAAGAAAAACTTGTATAAATATTTTAATATTAAATTTATTGA